AAGGCTTAGCCAATTTGACACTGCCAGGTTTCATTCTTCAGGCCAGTCAAAACAATTTAAGTTACTCTTTTCTTTCACCTGAGTCACTAACAGCAGATACAAAGATACACGACTCATTACTGCAAGCTTTGCTGCCTACGTTAACAAATCACTGAAAATCTGTATCAGTCTGCAAGCCCATATAAAAACAAGGCAGAACCCAAAAAAATCTTGAGTAAGCTGCTAACACCACCATAGTTTTTAGTACTCGGTACAGGATTACTCACATACCAACTACCCCAGCACTGGGACTCAGAACAGAAAGGCACTTAAGGACTTTGGTGGAGTCACCAAGAAAAGCCTGGACGTGGCACTCAGTGCCGTGGTCTAGCTGACATAGTGGTGTTAGGGCAAAGGTTGGACTCTATGATCCCAGAGGTCTCTTCCAACCAAATCGATTCTGTGTGATTTTGTGTGACAAGTTATTATCCCAAAACCAGACTGCGAAACATTAGAAATGTCTTCTGAAACCAGAATATTCATTAAGACAGGGTTGAGATCCAAAAAGATTTAGGACTTTCTAATGGGGTATGTGCAAATGGAAGAGCATTCGTCACCCCTTCTTCACAAAAACAAAACCAAGCAGCAATCGTGTCGGCATTGGCCATGAAAACAGGAGTTTCCAGGGTAAAGAAGTTACTCTCACATCACCTGTCACAGAACGGGCACATAAAACAAATGATTTTCCAGATGGCAGCAATCATGTGTGGTACCTTTGCTATATTCTCACAGAATCCCATGTTACTTCTCTTTGCTCCAGCACTTGGAAGACCTTTTGCTTGGGAGGAACTGCTATCGGGGCATCCTTGATCCTTGGATAAACAATGATCTGCAAAGATCCCACCGTTTAAGCATAAGGATACACATCTGCACGAGGGTCTGACTCTTCAACCTATCTGGCAAGCTCCTTCACGGGAAGCTGCATCCCACCACCTCGAACTGTAGATCCCAGATCACATCAGACCGAGATGTGGGGTTGCTCAAAGCCCTGCAAGCACAACCTCGCCTCTCCAGCTGTGGCATCTCCCGCCAGCAAGACAGCCCCTCACCTACAAGACGTAGGGCTGGATTAGTACCTGCTTCACCGATTCAGCTGAGAACAAATGCCCTCCATGAGTAACTGTCAGGGAAACAATGTGCTATAGAAATCTCACTGCAGGCAATTGGGGAAAAAAATTTTTTTTACTAAGGTCTTATGCCATAGGCATATATTCCACTGCTGGCAGAAGGAGACCTGGGGAAATAAAAGACTAAATATGGAAATTAAATCACTGCTATTAGCAGGTTTTGGATTGCCTTTCAGGGCTGACACAAATGTGGAGAACAAAGGGCTAACACATCTTTTCTACATGCACTTACAGAATCCAAGAAAAATTTAGGCTGGAAGAGACCCACGGGCTGGCTGGGCTGCTCTTGGTCCACCAAGGACACAGGAATATCTAGGACAAACACTAACAAGTAGAAACAGCATAAACGATGTCAAGTCCTATCCATCTTCCTAACTCGCAGAATACTTTCACTCAAAAAAAAAAAAGCAGCACTGTTTAAGCCAAATACCGCCTGTCCTACCAGGGCACGTTATAGCTGCAGAGCCTGTCCAGACTAACTTGTCACCGTTTGTCACACTAAGCGACAGGAAGAAAGGAAGTCTTTCCATAGGGACTAATGCAAGGCAGCATGAACATGGTAAGAAAATGCCAAGGATTTTGCTGGGAGCCTGCCCCACCAAGTGGGTTGGGCTTAGCTAAGCCAGTAGCTCAGCCTTAGCTAAGCCAGGCCACCTTGCAACACAAGGAGGTGGCCACGGCTTCCTCAAAGTAGCCAAACCACAAAATAACAAAACCTTTAGAAGCTTCTCCTCTCCCTCTGGCCATGGTTACTTTTCTCATCCTTCCCTTCCTGCAACTGAGTTGATTGCTGAGTTTCCATAAAATGATGGAAAATGTACTTTCATCAAAAAATAAGCAGAAGGGAAGAAAACACCAGGCCACGGTTACTTAAACATGCTGTCAGCACTTCATCCATAAGGAACATTGACATGTTCAGGGCTTTGCCTCATCTAATTGTTCTGAGAAAGTTTCTGCTCAACCTTAATAAGAAACACGCACGAATATTTCTGTAAGAACAAAAAAATGAACCAAGATCAGTAAGAGGAAGGTGGGTTCAGGCAGTCAGAAACTATTGTTCCACCTTCACAGTCCGCAGAAGAAACCAACTCTCAGGCGTATTAACTGCAGATACGCCTGGCTCCTGAGCCAAAAGGAAAAAAGCTTTAAGAAACGCCTTTCTTAAAGTAGATTTCTTCTGGAAGAAAGAAGTCAAGTGTTTCAGTTTGAGAACAGAGGCACCTTGTCACTTGAGGGCTGCACCAGCCCCAGGAGATATTCTTCAGACCTGCTGTCGGTACATTTCCTCAAAGCCCTTCCTGGAGTTCAGACACCTAACATGAACAAAAACTGGTTTTCAAATTAACATCCCAGCTTCAGGCTACATACTAATTTTGCTAAGCCAGCAAAGGATCAGTAGATGAGGGGACAAAAGCTCCGCTGAGCCCTGGCAGATCTGCCACCAGCTCTCTTCTGCTCCCTCTTCTCCACCGGTAAGACTAGCCACACTAAGAGAAGGATCCAGACATGATCTGTGTGGGCAGTTGAGCATGAAGCTGATGAAGGACCACTGGGCTCACAGGTTCGTTACCCAGACACACAAAACAAGAGAAACCATTAAAATTCAGCTACACGAGTCACCTGATGCTCTGTAGTACAGTATTTCCTAGCGCCACTTCTCTTGTTCCTCAGATTTGCACGAGTCAAGGTAAATACTTGAGGGATGTCTCTTCTCTGAACTACCATGTTTTTCAAGTGGCTGAGTTCATTAGAGCACTCCCTGGAAAAGGAGCAATGCAAACCCACTAGACACTTTTGTGAAAAGCCGCTTCACCGTGAACAAACACATCAAACGTGAAGCAAGGAAAGAAGGTGGGAGATCATGTCAAAAGAGATAAAAGCAGAAGAGGAGAGAAGCCACATTGCATAACGGTGAGGACAGAAATAGGCCTGTATTGCCTAAATCTATGAGAACTATGAACAGAAAAAAAAAAAAATCAGGTGCTTTAGTATTATGAACTCAGTAAAAAATTAAGTTTGGCAAAACAGAACCATTACCTTTGCATAGGTCAATTTTTCAGTTAAAATGAGTATCAAAATGCTAAACATAGCATGGTATTGTGCTCAAGGGTGCTGTCAGGAATTCAGTAACAATGCATTTATGATATTCATTAACTTACCAAGACATAAATATCTTGTACTGTCCCCAATGAATAACTAACATTCACCAGGAAGACACACAATTGACTGAAATCACTAAAAACTAAATTAATACTAAAACTGTTGCAGGAGGAAAATATGACGAACAAGTACCATGAAACTGAAAAAAACCAACTGCTTCTTAATGAGATAAGTGGGGACCTGCGGAGGGAGCACAGGACTCGAAGCACAGCGCCCGAAATACTTCAGTGCCTCCTTGTTGCCCGTCACGGAGAAAACGTGGCAGTGGGAAACCAAAGCAGGACAGCAAGTGAACAGAATAGACAGAACAACCTCTATTTCTCTTCCTTTTGTGTTCGAATTACAGCTTCTGGTTTTTATCCTTAAAAAGTATTTCATTCATTTCAATTTGTAGAGGCTCTGAGGAATCAACACTTTCCAGTTCACAAAGAACATTGCCTTCAGCCTATTCCCCTTGCAAATGCAGAGCCACACCACCCAAGTTAATGACCAGTTAAATGAAGTCAGTGAACTGGACAATTACCTTCATAAAAAAAATGAGTCCTTAGGTCACTTTCTTACTTAGATTCATAAAACTCCAAATAAAAAAAGGGAATAAATCCAGGTTAAGCTCACAACAACTGAATTAATAGGAACTTAATAAAATGCTGTTCGTTAGCTGGATCACACGACCTGAGCACGCAGACATTTATACATCACACTGAAGCAGTAGTGAGCTCCAAATACTGTTAACATGTTATGGTTGGGGGGGAGGGGTGGGTCCTCTTGTGCACAAATCCTTATTTCTGATGCAAATAAAAAGTCAGATCAAACCTCTGAGCCTGCTGTAGAGAAGGGCAGCATTTCTAACTGAGTCAGTTCCACCTGGGAGCTGGGACACAGACCAAGGAGCCCCCCTGTTGCTGTTCTTGTACTCGCTTTGTTCAAAAGAACCAAATTTTGAAGCTTGATGTTTAAATTCAGGCTATGTGACTAGGAGTAGGAGATTGGGAGCTGCTGTTAACTCACGGTAATACAAATTAAAAAAGGAGACCTGCAATTCAATTGAAAGGTAAAACCTCAGAAGAGATGGACAGTATTTCTTACAAAGCATATTAATGCAGGAGTGAATAAAGGAGGTCACATAACAGAGACCACCTATTTAGCAGGATTCAAACAAGGCTTGAATACTTACATAGCAGAAATATTCAGAACAGTGAAGGAAACAAGAAGGTAGGGACAAAAGCAGAGATGAAGGGTTTTGGGAATGTTATAAACCCTGGTCCTTCAGCACACAGCTCACTCATTAGGACCGAGACAAACCTGAGTAAGGTACCAACAACCTCTCTTGGTTTTTTTTCTAAAGCATCTCAATCATCTCCATCAGCAGTGCCAAGGCAACAGGAAGGCAAGCACTATGTGGAGGGACAGGCACCTGGGATGTGCTGCCTGCTGCTGCTGCACTTCCACAAGAGCAGCTACCAACAAAAGCTGGAGATATTCCTAGGGAGTGCCACAGGCACCAAAATGCTCATCTGAAATTTCACAACAGGTTTGATCTGCGAGTGCTATGAGCCACAGCTGTAGTAATCCCCTCTGAACCCTTCTCACACTCTTGCTCTTCCTCCAGAAACCACATAATGGAGCACGGTCCATGCTGCACTGCCCACCCCAATACGTAAAAATAACCCAAACCTCAAGCTTCAGAATATCGTGCTGCAGTTTGCGCTGGAAGTCGAGGAAGTGGGAGATGGTCAGCTTCCCCTTCAGATCTGCCCCAAAGAAGTATGTTGTCAGTGCAGAGCTGAAGCCAGTTTTCAGGGTGTTCCCCGTTGTAGACCGGTCTCTGTGGCGCATGCCCATGCTGGTTTGGGAACGAATAATGCTCTGGACCTAAAATTAAAAGGGAGAATGTTAGCATCCAAAACACCACTAGGACTTATACTATTCAAGTATTGGTATGAAGTACTCCAAGTTCAGCCATCTCATCCTCTCGTCTTTCTTTTTTTTTTTCCTGAAATAACTGTTAAAAGACATGACAATGCAAAAATTTGGCTGAACTCAGGCTTTGGTTGTTTCAGTCCTCTTTAAAGAAAGAAGAGTATGAAATGTTTAAAATGAGTTTTAAGAAACAATTCACCCAGATTGCAGATAACCCTTCTAGCGCTGATCCTACATCTGGTCAGCAGAGAGCAGCTTGTTCCTAGCAAAGTCGCAAGAGGAGAGAAAACCAAGGCAACCATGGGGAAGAAAAAAGCCTGCACACGTTTTGGAGCTTCCACTCCTACTTAACCGCACATCCTTGTTAGCTCATACCAACCCCAGTTACCTCACACGGCATTTCCTTTCCCCTTGTGCACAAAACCAGGAGTTTTCTACCCAAGGGCACCCTCTCCTTGCTGCCTGCCACTCTGTGCCACGCTGGAAGCTCCTCCGTCCCCGGGGCTCTGCGGTGAGCTGAGCTGCAGGCTAGGGCTGACCCACCCAGAGCAAAGGGCTCTCCAAAAGTCCTGTAGGCTGCATCAACCCAAAGACAACCCCAGCGCCAGCAGAATAAGTAACGCAGAAGGATCTGAGTTACCAGCAGACCAGGATATTTGCACGAAGACAGCCAAATGTGAAAGAATACATTATAACAGCAGTATCTCAATGTTTTTAACAAAACACGAAGGCAACCAGTCTCCTCCTCCTCCTCCTCCCCCCCTGAGCTCTCAGCATCACCCTGTACCTTCTCAAAGGCAACGCTTCAGTGGATGCTGCGGCACAGGGCAAGGACGAGCAGGACAACTTCCCTACTCCCTACAATACGGCAAAAGGTTGAATTTGAAGGATGTGACAACCTGGGAGTCTTGGAAATCCAAGAGTTTGTTATTTTAAGGGTCCTCTGCTAATTTAAGGGGGCAGCCAAGTCAAATACACACTTGCCTCCTCTCTCCATCCCCAAATATCCCACTACACCTTCCCAGCACCTGCCCATCTGTCTGATTATTGCTAGGATACAAGAAGCCAGGCTTATTCTCTGTATAATAACTGATATCTTCCAACAAGACAGTAGAAGGATTCATATTAAGGACAACAAGTGACAGAAAGGAGAGCGGGGAAAAAAAGCCACCCGACGTGGCTTTGACCGCACAGGCTTCCCAAAGCTCCAGCGAACACCGCTGCTTTGCCTTCAGCCTCTTCCTCCTGCCGACAAAAGTTGGAAGGGAGGAAGAAAAACAGCTGCCAAGAGCTCCAGTTGTCAGGAGGATACTAGAACCTCATTATTGTGGTATACAGTGTGTTCGTTTTTTTCCTAACAAGACAGCAAGCACTGGAACAACCCCAAAGGGGATGCTCTGGATGAGAACACCACGTATCGCTGCTGGGCTCACCTCGCTTGAAATGCTGCCTCCAAACCACAGACTACTGGCTATTCTTCCACTACAAAGAAAATCAAGTTGAGTCAGAGGAAAAAAGTACAGAAAAAAAGGTTTTGTTTTTTTCTAAATATGCACTGTGATGTGAAGAAGGATTTTTGCACTGTAAATAGCAACTCCTCTTTTTGCTTTATGCTCTACTTTAACTGCAAGCTCTGCATGCACATTTTGGAGACAAATATTTATAAACTGTCTGAAGCAATGCAGTTTATGACCAGCTTGGAAAATTGCCCCTGTTTTTGCAGAAGCAAGTGTTTCCCACACTGCAGACTGTTCGACAGAGCATCTTTTCCTGGGTGTTATTTATATGGCATCCTACACCCCTCTTGTTCTCTCTCATCTATAACAAGCGTCGGACAGTTTGAAAATCTGTGGGCACTGGAGCCAAAATTATGTGCCTGGTCCCTCTTTTGGGTAATCCTTCTAATATCAAGAAAGGCAGGCAACCACTGCAAGTTGTTCTCCAGCCCAACCAGTGCTGTCCTCCCTCAAGGCTCATCAATCATACAAGGATGTGAAGCACAGAGATGCTTCACTGTCTTTTGTACGTATTTCAGCCTAAGTGTTTGCGATCTGTTTCATCTTTTGCACCAGACAAGGGAAAAAAAGAGAAAAAAAAAAATCAATAAAAAGAGTTAATGGTTTGAAGAGAAATCACAAGTAACACTGCCTGCGAGTTTACTACTTTTCATCCAACTTTTTAATTAAAAATAGAGAGTAAACTAACAATTTACATGCTGAAGGATCAAAAGTTGAAGACGATACTGATGCAGGCACCAAACTATTCAGCACTGTGCACTAACCATATGCATCAACTGGAAAAAAAATAATCTAAGGCTCTTCAGTGACTCCTGAAGAAATTCAGTATTTTCTTATTAGGCAGTTAAAGCCTCCAACTTACTCACATATTAGCTAGATTACTGCACGTAATTTTCTCTCTTGATGAATACTCTTAAAGTTCTTCATTAATGAGAAGAGAGACCTGCTGTTGGCCGTCTCCAAAGACGACGTGTGAAAAAGGAGTACGAAATTCATTCCCACTTGCTCACAGCCAGCAAGGATGGTACAGTGCTTCTGTGAGGACTCTTTTCTTGCCCTTCTTTTTCTTCCCATTCTCCCCAAAACGATGCTGCTCTTTTGAACTGATGCCACCTCTAGCAGCATAATCCCCTGGAAGGGCTAGTTGGATTCCCTGCCAGGTAACGTATTTACGGGACAGATCTGCAAACCCTGCCATCCATCATGCTCTCACTGAGGCATTTCTGTAAGGAGTGAAAAAGAGTATTTGTCATATAAATTACTCCGTGTGTTATATTATCTGTGTGTATAACATAATATACATGCCTTCTGACGAAGCTATGTGTTTGCTTTAATTCTGTTTGGGAACTGCAGCAAGTCAGTTATAATGATATCTGTGAAGATACTGTCAGCTTCTTCTCACTTTCCAAAACAGCTCCTTCATCCTCTGACTCTAAAGCTCTGGAAGATCAGTCTTCACCAAAATATTCTGATGCTAACCAGGAACTTTATTCCTTTATATAGAGGCAGTGACGCACGTACCAAGCTTAACAAAAATATGTTCCCTTTCCTAAGGATTTTTGTATGATTTAATACACATAACTTCCCTTTGCCTACCAGATGATTTGAGATAATTTAATTCAATTTTGTACCTTCATCTTCATAGCGCTTCCGAAACATTCATCCTCAAGACATATTCTTTCATACTTTACACGGCTAATAAAAAAGTCAAACATGACACCTAGGTTAGTACCTTGGCATCACTGCATTTTTAGTAGGCGGTTAACTGTTCTCCAGTTTTCTTAAATTCATTTATCTCCATAATTGATTTCACTTTAGAACATTAGTAACTACTGTAAAACACCTTTTGAATCGTTAAATAATATCATATAGCTGCAGTGAAGTGCTATATTCATGCACTATGCAAACAGAAGGAAGAACAGTATTTTTTACTTGTGAAAATAGGATTTTTACCCCCAAATTTTTTTAAGCTATGAATTTTTCATAGCTAAATCAGTAGTTTGTAGGGAGGTAATGCTAAACAGGACAATAAACTGGACATAGCTGTGTATTCAAATCTGTACTAGAAGGAAAATGAACTAACTCCTGGGTTTACATTACAAGCTGTCACACGAAGGGATGTCATACTGATAATAAACATACTCCACTCTCCTCATAGTCCAAAGTTTGCATTTACAAAATATACAGTTAACCAGATATATTACACAGCTCTGGAGGAAGCTCATAATAATGATAACATATCCACAAGTAATAATTTAAGGAAGATGACAGCAAAAGATTAGAAGGGGAGGAATTAATTTAACAGACTTGCTTTGCCACTAGTTCTTCCCATTTATAGCAAATGCCCCAAGTATGACCTCTTAGAGACTCTTGTGAACTAGTCATTCAGTCAACTGATGAGTAAGAATTTGTAACTAGATTATTCAGGGCTGCTTTGTTCTCAGATATCAGTATACAGCTTCTCACCTTCTCCAAATACGGATGTCCTCCAGCATAAAAGAACCTGCAAGGGCAGATTATTTTTTTCAACTCAAGAGTCTTGTTTCCTTTGCCCAGAAGCAGTAGCTTCCACTTGCCCATTAAATGTACAGCCCTGAGGGATACGGGGGTCACAGAAGTGCCAAGGGCCACATGAATATTAGGTAGATGAGTGGTGTATCTCCTCTACCTTGTTCTTTGCTAACAGAGATGGTGACTCCCCATCCAACCAGCCAGTTCCCTTGTTTGCAAACGCATTTATTTTTGCTTTCATGAGTAGCACACACATGGAGCTTTGCTAGTATACAGCAACTTCAGGATGTTTATGACTTTTCCAAAGCCTTAAGTCTGTTTTCTACATTGGCAAGAAAAGCATACACCTCTGCCCGGGGATGTCAGATCCTTTCCCCACTGACAGCTCAAATCTTCAATCTATTCCCACTCCTCACACAACCACAAACCATAGCTTACAGGAGGCTCTCACCAGTATAAGACATGCAGGCTAAGCTCATTAAAAAGCCTACATTAAACTCCCTGTTGACAAAACCTTGTAACAAGTAGAGGAAAGAAACTAATAAAAATACTCTCTCAACAAACATGTTTTTAGATTACATTGAAATACGTGGCTAAATTCTTCTTTGAGGCAGACTCACCCTGGCTGTTCTCTGAAGACAAACAAAATTACGGAATGCACTAAAAGCTGTGGAAGAAAGTAGGATCAAAATTCTATGACATCAGTAGAGGGAAAAAATTTCTTTATTGACTTTGGAGGTGACATGTTGTAAAGATACCTCGGTGACAAAGTCACAGGAAATCAGAGCTTATACTTACAGTTGTCCTGGTTGAATGAAAAATTGTCTGGAAATATCTGGTTAAAAAAAGCAGTAGGTACTGAGGCAAAACAGCAAAGCATAGAAGGAAAAGACATAAACCAGCACTAACCACAGTAACATCGTAAAGGAGTGCTGCACTTATGACTAAGATGCCATAACATTAAGAAGTCAACTTGTCATTCAACTTGCCTGCTCAAACTCTTCCATGTCCACTTCGCCATCACCATTCAGATCAAACATCTTAAAGGCGATTTCAAAATTCCTCTGGGGAGCTACATAAAAAAACATAATAAAAAACAAAGACCAGTTAATGAAGATACAAAAGTTCAATTAAAAAAGGCACAAGTTCAGAATGACTTTATCCAAAAACCATTTTCCATAAATCTTGTAATTTTAATATGAAAATGCAGCTCTTGGGAACCTCTAGCTACGAGCTTCACAGTGATCCTTTTACCAAAGGTCTCGGCAAGGAGGTTGGGAAGAGGAGATGTTTCCTCAACAACGCTTATTCCATTTACAAGTGGAAAAAGCATCAAAGTAAGACACCATCTGACATTTCTAATGACAACCAACAGAAACTGACGCTGTAGCGAGAGCTCCAGCCTGCTCCATACAGTATAATACCAATTTGGCCAGAGGACATTCCTTCAGCGCTGCAGAGCACTCGCCATGCTTTCTGAAGCAGGCAGTGGGCGAGCAGCAGACCTGAACTTTGAGTGATTCTCTTCTGGATTCAGCTCTCGTCTCACTGTACAAATTTAAACAAATCATTACCAACTCTGTCTCAGTCCAGTTATGACACCGAGGTAACACACAAGCTGGAGTTTACCAGCTGAGACACACCCGAGATGGTGTGGTACCTTATTTTTCATCGCATTTCGTCTATGTTGTCATGGTTTATTTAGCCAGAACTCTGCAAAAGCATTGCCTCACAGTCGCCCATCACAGCAAAACCGCGCTCCTTCCCCTGCATCCCAAAGAATTTCAGTACATTTCCATTTTGGGCTCCGTAACACATCACCATTTCAAGCTACAACATAGTGCCACAATGTTTTTTCCAAATTAAGTTAATATATGAGAATTTATCTTGCTCTGCTACTTTCAAATATATACCACCTACAGGAATGTTGGTGTTTGCTGGGATTTCTAGGGAATCCTCTAGGCTGTAACTATTGCTTAGATTGTCATCTTAAGTGATCAATTAAAACTTAGCCCCTTTTTCTGTTCTCAAGATGGCTCTTCCCCACCCAAATCCGGCAGCAGGATGTGGATCAGTGGTGAGGCTCGTCCCCCTTTAACCTCATTTGTTGCAATCAACTGTTAATATTTCTTGCAGATACTCAAAAAGTAGTGAGTTTCTGCAACCAGCATTCTGTGTTAAGGCATCTCCCAGATAGGGGTGGGAGGAGGATCGCAAAGAGGAATCACTCAGACAAAAAGAAATTAATATGGAATTAACAGAACTGGATTTTGTACATTAGTTACAGCTTCAATTTAAGGCCAGGAGACTTTTACATTGTGTTTTCCCCTTGCTATAATAAACTGTAGCACTTTATCACTAAAAGATTCAGAAAACATGCTAATGAGATCACTTTTTCCAATCACTTTGTGCCTTAAACAGATGTGTAACAACATTAAACTCGAGGGCAGGAACAGCCTGTCACTAGCCACTTGATATATACAGCACATACAGTCCTGCTGTTATCATCTCTGGATTTCCAATTTCCTCAAAGCCAATTATTTGGGCTTTAAATTCCAAACACCGCGTGCATACGCGATGTCTCCTATAACCAGGGCAATTGCCAGCAGCACAGGGTGGGTTATCTTCCCTTCCATACGCAACCTTCCAGCAGAAGCCATTCCTCCACCCAGCTTCTCTGTCCTCCCTCCTGGGATGAGGAGACCTTTGCTCGCCATCCCTCGTTAGTTCAGCATTAGCTGAGCTGTAATCAGGGGGATGGGCTGTCCCCAACACCAACTTTATCATCTCTCCAATGATGGAATCTTATTACAGGGATTTATACAAAAAGCTTCCTCTGTATCCATCCATAGTTTCCAGTGATTAATTCCCCATTTTCCTTGAAAAGCAACAATATTAAGGACCTTCTAACTAGCATCTTAACATTTAAATAGCATATACAATTTTATTCACTTTAATTGCACGTATCGCATGAAAGCCTGGACACAATTTCTTCTTATCAGCCCTGAAATCTAGCACTGCATGGAGTTATCTCCTCTATGAGGAAACGGAGGAATATACAAAACTCTCATCTAGTTACAAGATGCTAGAACAAGGGCAATTTACACATCTCATATTTCTTCCCCCCTTTTTCTCTGCCAGGGTACAATTATGTATATTCTGAGATTGCAAAATTTGTTACTCCAATGTTAAAAATTGTTCCTTGTTGTTCGCCCCCCCCACCTCCACCCCTTCTTTAAGGGGACATATAATACCATGTCCCATTTGCGCAGAGACAGGGTGAAGAGAGAAAGCGAGGTACTTACCTTACCCCTCACAAAGGCCATTTCCTTCCTTTCCCTTCTCTAAATACACATTTTCAAGAGCAGTTTATCAAAGCCCCATAGGAGAACATAACTTGTGAAATTAAAACATAGTTAAGCATCAAAAATCTGCAGGGTCAGTATTTTCTAAGGACAGGGAAGGAAAGTGGCTTTAAATTGGCAAATTTAATTACTTCATTCCTTTCGCTAATAAGCAACACAGCCCGTTTCTTCCTCTGATCTGCGTATCTAACTCCAATTGCTTGTAACGACGCTTAAATCCAACAAATGTGAATCTGAGCCAGGGAAACCAGAGGGCACTGAAGACAATTAGCTCATCCCACTCCTGCTCAGGAAGAAGTGTTCATTAAGATGGATGTCCCTGATCTTCGGGCAGTCTGAATTTATTGATCCCGAGCGAGATGATTTCTGCCTCTCCCCTTGGGTGTGATGCTTCTGACCAAGATTTATTGGGGAAGAGTCATCCCAACGGCAGCTAACCCCCCTTGCCCACGCTGCCCCGTTACTCGTGATTACATCAGCCTGCACAACCTCCATTTCTCTTCTTCCTCTTGTGCTTACATCTTTCAGAAACCTGCAGACCATAAAAGCAGCAGCTACCAGTTTGCCTAACTAAACTTAGCCTCCCCCCGCCTCTCCTTTTATCCTGCTCCCCAATTTTACCATTCCCAACTGCAGCTTCTCTAAATTTCCCCACTGTCTCCTTAATTAAGATGCCTCAAAACGAAGGCAATATTCCTCCTGCAGCGGTTATCAAAACCATGTAAAGGACCGTTTGCTTTTAATACAATGCAATGCCTGTCTTTACAAGAGAAAAGAATTTCTGGATTTTCCCCAAGTGCTCTGCTGCATTTCCAGCTCTCTGATTTTTGCAAGCTATCTCCTTGCCATCCTTTTTGACATTATTAAGAATCAAGATTTTTTCATTGCCACTAATTTCCCTTGGGCAACGAGTCAGGAGCTGGTCAGGGCAACTGCAGTTTCTTTTCTAGCTTTATTTCTAGTCTTTCGGTGTTCAAGAGGATACAACAACTTCTTAATGATTCCTCCAAATCATTAACACAATGAAAACATGGTAGTGGAGCCTACACCGATACCAATTCAATACCAATTCATGAGTTACCTGTTCCTAGCTTTGAAAGATATTAACTGTATCTGTCAGATGAGATTGAAATCATTCTGTAGATCCATCGCTCCACCAGCTCTACACAGCAAGTTGCTTCTTCAACTAACCTGGGAGTTAGTGCAAAGGGCAATTAACATTTTTTCTTGCCTTGTTTGTTCAAATCAAATATTTGGGAACAGAAAGGCAATAAGAAAAGCAAAAGCCACACATGGTAACGTTACGAAGATGAGCAAACCTCCACCAGACAAAGAGATGACGAGCAGCAACACTTGACCATATCCAAAAAACCCACTCAGTCCATCAGTATAAGGCCCAAGGGAACCTCTAAGGGATTAGATGGGCTGATTAGGCATTTTTAAGCCAATTATATAATTTTAAGCTATTTTTAATTACTCAGTGGACCAATTTGCAGCACTCAATTGCTCTTTATTGCCATTTACTCTCACCAGAAGCAATGCATTCTGAAAGACAATAAACTCTCACTGATAAGAAAGGCCACATTTTACCATTTTTGCACTCATTTGATCTTCTCTTTCCCCCAAACTCAATATTCCACACCTGAAGAGAAACCTCTCAACAAGTCTTTCCCTCTGACTCCTACTGCAACTCCTGCAGTACCTGGTCGCACACAAAAATTAGGTGTCTACTGTAGAGCATCCACCTCAAGTGAAGGTACCGCAGTTTAGAAAAAACTATTTTTAACACTTTTGGAGAATAAACATTGCTTCCTTCAGATGTAGTTGAGAATTTCTTTGACAAAGTAAGGGATTTTTTTGGTCATGTTACTTAGAGGAAGTAAGACTTCTAGCTACTCCTTTGAAAACCCTGGAATAGCTCATCTTTTGGTGGGAATTTAAACACAAAGCAGCTCAAGACTCCCATCTCCATCCCAAAGCCTAGTAACTCCCCAAGCAACTCCAGTGTGGGAAGAAAGATCAAGAACTCAGCTGGGGAGTTATTTTGAGAAAAATTAATTATTAGGAGTTAAATATCCTGTGATAACTTCTTTCCCCATCTATCTCCAAATTAAGAAAAATAAATGTACATAGTACTCAAACTGAAAAAATATATCTTCATAACCAATCCAAAATTAACACAGTCCTCCTAAACAGAGACAGGTTTTCATCCAGAGAGATGACTGTTCAAGCCCTGCAGCTACCACCATATTTTTCTTTTCTTTTTTTAAGGTCACAACATTGAACTGTCCTAATGTTGCATATATCTTCCTTTCAAATTATCGCACTATTTCAGAAAGTGAATCCAAATCCCACCAACTTCTTTTTTTAATGTTAATCAACCCTGAAATGTAAATAACAGGCAGCTAAAACAACTGAGACCACAGCACGGAAACTGAGCCACAGTATCATCAATTCTAAAGGTAAAATACCTTTAAATCACCATGCGTTATTTCTTATCACAAGAAATAATCAGAATTGCCTCTGAAATAATACAAATGCATCATTTTAAAACCTAAGTATACAAACTCCACTAAAATACAGACTTCAGCTTTCAAGCAGTCTAACACCCAGAAACTCAAGTTTTCATTTGGTTTTCAAATTCCAGTTAAAATCTAAAATGCAATGCTGCTTTCACGATTGGAAAAGAGCTCTTTCATACTTGGTA